ATGTGTCTTGATAAGTTAACGAGTTACGAAGATAACAAGGATAATGGCAATACAACCATTGCTCAAGATAATTATGAATCATCTAATCTCCTGGTGGTTTCGAGCAACAATTATTGCAAGGAATGAATTATAGATTCAGGTTGCACTTGACACATGACTCCAAGTAAAGATGTGATTGAGGAATTATGTGATCAAAATGGTGGATCAGTGTTGCTGGAAAATAACAAAGCCTGTAAAATTACAGGAATTGAATATGTGAGATTCAAGCTTTATGATGAGTCAATAAAGTTGTTGAGTGTGTCAGGTATGTATCTGATCTTAAGAGAAATTTGATTTCTATTGGTGAATTCAACAAGAAATGATATGTTTTAAATGAAGATCAAGGTATCTTGAGAGTCATAAAGTGGTCGAAGGAAGTCTTGAGAGGCATCAAGAGGCCGGACTTGTATACCCTTGAGGATGAGGTTATAAGTGGTTCAACAAATTTTGTATCCACGAAGAATCTGTCGAAGACGGAGCTATGGTACATGAGATTATGCCAGTTTAGTGAAAGGGGTCTGGTCGAACTAGGGAAACAAAATCTCTAAGGTGGTGACTGGTAAAAAATCTAGAGTTCTATGAACCTTGTATATTTGGAAAAGCTTGCAGAGTGAACTTCAATAAAGGTAAACAAAGAACACATGGATCCTTTAATTATATTCATGATGATCTTTATGGGTTTCCAAGAAGTCTGTTACACTCAGGTGCAAGATATTTCCTATTCATAGTTGATGATTATTCACGAAAGTTATGGGTATTCACTCAGAAAACTAAGGATGAAACTTTTGAAAATTTCAAAAATTGGAAGACTCTGGTCGAAAATCAAACTGGCATGAAGGTTAAGAGATTGAGGACCGACAATTGCCTTGAGCTCTACAATGAAGCCTTCAACAGTCATTGTGTTATGTCTGATATTGTTAGGAATAAGACTGCAACAGGTACTCCTCAGCAAAATGGTCTGGAAGAGAGGTTCAATCGTACAATCATGGAAATGGTTAGATACAAGTTTTATCAGTGCTGGATTGAAGAAGGTGTTTTGGGCTAAGGTTGTAGTAACAACAACATATATGATAAATATATGTCCCTCGAGTGCCTTAGAGATAAAGACACCTGAAGAAGTTTGACTGGGTCATCCACCAGATCTCGACAATCTTAGAGTATTTGGTAGTGTAACCTATGGTCATATTAGGCAAGAAAAAGTCAAACCTAGAGCTCTGAGATGCATGTTCCTTGGGTATCCCGAGGGAGTAAAAGCCTATAGGTCGTGGTGCCTAGAACCAGGTCGCTGGTGGTATATCACAAGTCGTGATGTGGTTTTAAATGAAGCATGGATGATTTTCAAGTAAACGGATGACGCTGGTCAAAATACAAATATCTCTGAAGAAGAGCAAGAGACATGTCGAGAAGAGTGCACAATTATGGTGAAAATCTAGATGAAGTTGCTGAAGAAGCACATGATTATGAAGAAAATGAGGAAACTATTGATGACTATCTGCTGACAAGAGACATGTCGAGAAGAGTCATCAAGCCACCTAAGAGGTTGGGTTATGTAGATCTCACAAATTTTTCCTTTATTTCAACAAGTGAGGTTCTCGATGAAGAACCTAGAGATTAATAAGAATCTATGAGGAGTCAAAATAAGAAGGAATGAATGATAAAATGAAATCTCTTTATGATAAGAACATTTGGAAGCTTATAGAAAAACCTACAGGGTCAGATTAGTTAGCTGTGAATGGATTTTCAACCTAAAGGAATGAATTGAAGGAGTTATGTCAAAGAGATTCAAGACAAGACTTGTTGCAAGGAGCTTCACTTAGAGGTATTGGGTGGATTTTAATGATGTACTCTCTCCTGTTATGAAGCATATATCCATTAGAATGCTTCTTGTCGTGGTGGCTAGGTTCGACCTAGAATTGGAGCAAATAGATGTGAAGACTACTATTCTATATGATGATCTAGATGAAACACAATTCTGATGAAGCAACTTGAAGAGTATGATGAAAAAGGTAAGAAGGATTATATGTGCAAGCTAAATAAGTCATTATATGACATGAAACAATCTCCTAGGCAATGGAATATGAGATTCAACAAGTTCATGGAACGCATAGGTTTTACAAAGAGCAACTTTGATCATTGTGTTTATTTCAGGTTCTCACTTGAAAATTCATTTGTCATCCTATTGCTCTATGTGGACGACATCCTCATAGCAAGCAACCTCGTCGAAGAAGTAATGAGAGTGAAGGCTAAACTTAACTAGGAATTCAAAATGAAGGACCTTGTAGCTGCAACCAGGATTTTAGGTATCGACATCAAGAGAGATAGAAATCAGTCAAAAATATATTTATCTCAAGAGTCATGTCTAAGGAATATTCTCGAAATGTTTTGTATGTAGAACTCAAAACCTGTTATAACGCCAACATCTTAACAATTCAAGTTAAGTATAACTCAAATTCCTAGTGCTGAATTTGAAGGGGCTTATATGGATAGCATTCCATATGCTAGTATAGTGAATTCTTTGATGTATGTTATGGTCTGTACCAAGCCAAATATAGTGTATGCAGTTGGCCTTGTAAGCAGCTAGATGACCAACTTTGAAAAGGCACATTGGCAAGTCTTGAAATGGATCCTAAGATACATAAAAGGATCTATGTGCAGAGTCTTGGTTTACGATGGAGCTAAAGACGATGATAACGAAGTAGAAGTCAAAAGATTTATTGACTCTGACTATTCAAGATGTATGGATACTATAAAATCTCTTTCTGGATATGTTTTCACTATGTTTGGTACAACAATTAGTTGAAAAGCCACACTTTAAAAGACTGTAGCTTTTTATCAACGACTAAAGCTCAATATATTGCCCTCACTGAAACTATAAAAGAAACATTGTAGCTTGAAGGATTTGCTAAATAGCTGAAACTTCAAGGTCGAGCAATCACTATTAAATGTGATACTAAAAGTGTCATATATCTGTCGAAGAATTAAGCCTATCATGAGAGAACCAAACACATTGATGTTAGGTTGCATTTCATTAGGTAGAAAATCAGAAAAGGAGAAGTCAAAGTGATGAAGGTTTCGATTGATCACAATGTTGCTAATATGATCATCAAGACATTGGCAAACAACAAGTTCTTCCATTATATGCACTTGATAAAACTACATGATGATAACTAGTTTGTTCCTTTGATGTTTTGGTGTTTGTTGCAAGGTGGAGATTTGTAGTATTGAATCGAACTCCAATTTCGACAAGGGTCATTTCAGGATTCGACGGTGTCAAATGTGCGTGTTGTAGTCGAAGTTTGTTCAAGCATGCAATAGTCGAAGATAACTTATGTATTATGTTATGTAGTAGCTATGTATGTCATGTATACATGTTATCCTCATACATAAGATACATATGCTAGTAGTCTATAAATAGGCTGTTCTCTCATTTGTTAGGAGAGAGGTTGAATGTTATTCACTTGTAATCATTTAACGCTCATTGAGACAATGAATAGAAAATATACATGTTATCCTCATACATAAGATACATATGCTAGTAGTCTATAAATAGGTTGTTCTCTCATTTGTCAGGAGAGAGGTTGAATGTTATTCACTTGTAATCATTTAACGCTCATTTAGACAATGAATAGAAAATAACATCCTAACCAATTTTGTTTTTCTATTCTTCTTCCTTCTTCTTTCTTTTCGTGATTTGAACGATTTTTTGGTTGATAAAGAAACTTTCACTTTCTCATAGTTTTACTCAGTGTTTTAAAAACCGGACCAGACCGGTCGGTCGGACCGGGAACCGGCCTAGTAACCAGTTTGGTTTACTAGTTCGATCGTCTGTGTCATCAAACTGGTAAAAACCGGAAAAAACTGGGCTGGGCCGGGAAAAACCGGGTTTAGGGTTGGACCGATTCTAATGCATTTTTTATTTTTTAATTAAAATTTAAATGCAAAAGTTATAAAAATTAAAAAAAAAATTATTTGAAATTAGATTATGTTGCAATTATTTTGTAATTTTGTATTATTTTGTTGTGTGTGATGATATATTTGTTTAAAATTAGATTATGTTGCAATTATTTTGTAATTTTGTATTATTTTGTTATGTGTGATACATTTGTTTAAAATTTGAATTTAAATTATGAACTTGTGAATTTATGATATGATATTTTCAAAAAATTTAAATACTAGTTATAATTTTTTAGAAACTGAATCATCCGGTTCGACCGGTTTTATATCTATATAATGACAGGTCTATTCAACCGAGTTATCCGATTTAATTCGGTTTAGTCATGCGATTCGACCAGTGACCCAGTGGTTCGACCGATAAACCAGTGATCCAATACCCACATCAGTTCGATGACCGGTCTGGTTTTTAAAACACTGATTTTACTCGTTATTGACATTGATTTTCTCAATAGTTTGAGATAATAGAGACACAAGTTCAAAGTTACGAAATTTCATTTAAAATCATTTAATTCTATAATTTATAAATATATGTGTTTAAAATTCTTTAATAATAGAGACGTTTAAAATTACCGCATTTCATTTAATCTTTTGAAATTCTTGGCATAGCATTACAAATTTGTTTATTACTATTATGTTAGATATTCACTCTATTACAAATCAAAGAAGTTTGAATAGGTATGAATTCTTTAAATTAAAAAAAAATATTTTTTTCAAGTACTACTACTGACATTGTTAAGAAATCTAAAAAATAGTCCTAAAAAATAAAAATAATCTAAAAATTTTGAATCCATTAATAGCAGCACACCCCAATCCCCAAACCATCCCTTTCATTCTTTTCTCTCTCCCTTTCCATCTTCTCTTTCTATATCTTTCGAAATAATAAGTTGAAAAATTAATGAGCACATTTCCTTTTAGAGAAAAAAAAAGTAACCTTTCACAATAAAATTAAAAATAAAAAGAGGAATATGTGCCATGCTTTGTATCAATACATAGCAGCATAAAAATCAATGGAGGAGGAGAAGAGAGAGGCATACACAAACCCCACCAACTCATCCTCCACCACCACCATGGCATTTTCCGACGAGATTCCGAGCACCACCACCACCATCAACAATAACACATCTTTATTCCCTTTTCAACCTTCAATCTCCACCATCTTTGACACGTTGCCATCTTCCTCGTGTGACCAAAAAGTTTCCTCTTTTGGATTCATGGACTTGTTAGGTTCCCACGATTACGACACAAACAACAACACTTTTTTGTTATCCGATTGGGCTCTTCCAACAACCACCACAGTCATCCAGACTCTCCCGTCGCCGGCGAGTTCCAACGTCCTGGATTCCTCCGAGGTGCTGAACACACCGACATCACCAAACTCAACTTCAATTTCTTCCTCATCTAACGAAGCCACCTTTAACAACAACACCATACAACAAAGAACTAAAGTTTCAACAAACGAACATGATGCTGATGCAGAGGTAGAAGAAGATGGAAATGGAGTCAAAGAAAATGACCAAAATCAAGACAAGACAAAGAAACAGTGAGTGTTCTTAATTATTATCAAATAAATCAATAATAAACTTCTTCTCTCATCCTTTCTATTCTCATCACCTGTCTCTGTTTTTTTCTTCTCATTTTAACATAAAATGAAGTCTAAAAGCAAAAAAGAAGAATCAAAAGAAGGAAAGAGAACCCAGATTTGCTTTCATGACAAAGAGTGAAGTTGATAACCTAGACGATGGCTATAGGTGGCGTAAATACGGTCAAAAAGCTGTTAAAAACAGTCCTTATCCTAGGTAAAGCCATTTTTCATTTCACTATTTTCAGTTTAGTGTCCAAAAAGTTTGATCTGATATCTGATGTCTCTGCTCAGCTATCAACTGAATTCTGATATCTCTGTTCGGCTATCAACTGACTATCAATTGATGTTAGGGTCATGCTAATGATATTTAAATTTATTAATAATTTTTATTTAATTTTGACTTGCGGGACACGCAAATGTGTCCGCGTTGAAACAAAAACAGGAGCTACTATCGTTGTACCACGGCAGCCTGCGGCGTGAAAAAGCGCGTGGAGCGTTCATCCGATGATTCTTCCATTGTCGTCACTACATACGAGGGTCAACACACACATCCTTCACCAGCCACGTCACGTCCTAGCCTCAGCTTCGTTAACGAACCTACTAGCTTCGGTGCCGGTGCATTTGGTGGTTGTAGTTCAGGTTCACACTCACACTCACACTTTGTTCTACCACACGCTTCATCATTGTTGTACGATAATACTAATCCCACTATCAATTCTACTACTACACCCCCATCACTTGGTTCTAGTGGTGGCTATGTTAACACGTCGTCGTTTGGTGGTTTTGTTCACGACCAAGCGATTATTCAAAGAGGTTTTGGAACTTCCCACGAAGCTTTGTTAAGAGACAATGGGTTGCTTCAGGATATTATTCAGATGAAAAATGAGGAGAAAGATTTAATCAAAGAACAACTCTAGATAATATGGTAATAATAATATACTATAGATATAGATTATTCATATATATTATTAATTAATATGGATTTATTTTATGTGTCTATATATTGCTTTTGCAGCTATAGGTTTGATTTTATATGAAATTGGTGGTTAAATGACTATAGTATTATTGCCTTTGTAGCTTATAAAGAAGCTTGGGATATTGTTTTTGTTTATTTTATATGGACTATTCTTTTGTAACTATACATATTTTATTCCATGGTGAATTATTTTTCCCTTAATATTTTTTTATATGTTCGATTTCTTTGATGACTTCTATTTGTTTGACAGGGTTTATTCATCTAGACAAAATGGTGTTACCGTATTAGGGTTTTGCTTTTATTTTGTTCATATATTTAGAATAAAAAACTAGTAGCAAAAACTTTGTTGAGGTAATATGAAAAAGTGTTAGGGTTGTCTCGTCCCATGACTTAAAAACAATGCACGAGGTGTGGAAAGGTTGGAAAATTATTACTTGAGCAATGGCTTTTTGTACAATAGTACTAGTAGTAGCTTTTTATCATCATCATCACTCTTGCTCGATGAGGTTCATACAAAGATGGGCTTTAGAAATTCAATGATGGCGTGTGTTTCCAAGGACGGAAATAACTACAGTATGGTGATTCATATCTTTGATGAATAGCCAAAGATGGATAATGGAAAATAGTATGGATTTATAATAGCCAGATTGCCTTAGATATATATAGGTTACTATATAGTACTATAGCTAGCAATGAAGTTTTAACTATAGATGTAGCCATTCTGCTTATCACTTCTAGGCCTATATACCTTTAATGAGCATATCTAACAAGTCTAAACTTTAAAAGATCTCTTTGCGAAATCATTTTTGAAGATGATTTTTTGAGAATTTTAAAAAATTGCATTTATATTTTGATATATATTAAATTTATAGAAAATAATATGATGTATTAGCATATGATATTATAGTTTTTAAAAAAAATATCAAACATTAAAATATAGACAGAATCTTTTAAAATTCTCATATTCAAAATCTTTCAAAAATTAACTCGTAAGCAAAATATGAAAATGAAAGAAATAGAATTTAGGTTTGTTTGAAAAGTTTAGATTACGGTATCAAAGAGCAAGCTAGTTCAAGAAAACAAATAAAAGTGAGTTTAGAGTTTTTTAATTTTTTTTAGCAAGAACTGTACTGGTAAAAAGTAATTAATTTTCATACTGATTTATTATCTGTTACAATCAAGTTGAAATGCATTAGACTTATTTGTAATGGGCTCGCCTATTATAGTTCGTCCATTAAAGTAGATCCTTAATCTAAACTATTTGATATGAGAGTTTTTTATTATACCCCCATGACTATTTTGGATGGTAAATTTTTTATAATGTTTTTAGTTTTCAGAAATATATCTTCGGACATATTTTTTTTACACTCAAAGAAGGTCATTCTGAATGGCGCCACATGCATTTGAGTTTGATTAGTTTCGCAGATATATTTCAGAAATAATACCGTAGTTATATTTTCGAAACAAAATCTGAGACAATTAACACAAAATGAATTCCAAACATAAAATGAACATTCATAACATAAAATGGATATTATAATGATGATTTCAACCGAAAATTAAATATTACATTTCGATGTCTCAGTGGACGCTTGCATATCTTCAAGATATCTTCGACCGATCGTCGTAGTGTCGCTTCCATCTCGAGCAGAATTTTTTTTTCGAAACCGAAAAACGTTCGCCACATCGCCATAAAATATGCTCGGGTCTTAAGCTCAAATTTACTAAACACAATGTTTCCTTTATTGTCAACCGAGGGTGAACGATACTCAAGTTTGACAATCCTTCGTGTGTCTCCGTAAGGTAGGAGATAATGAATTCGTAAGGTATTCATATTTTCTCCAAATCGTTTCGGAGATATATCTCCGAAATAATTCTTTAGCAAATGCATGGTCTAACACCCATCTTAATTATTTAGTCTTTCCGGTGCTATTTTATTTTTGGCGTGTCTTTGTGGGGATTGTTTAAGAAGCTATAACCTTTAATATTAATATAAAATAATTAATAATGATAATAATTTGATAATTAATAGTAATGGAATTATTATTATTATTATTATTATTATTATTATTATTATTATTATTATTATTAATATTATTGGAATTAAAAGAAATGAGGAATAAGTGTTTTAAGGGGGTATTAGTGAGTTGGGAAAGAAAGGAAAAAGAGGAACACAGTCTATTGGGAGAAGAGGGAGGAAGAAGAACAAGAACAAGAGGAAGAAGAACAAGGGAGAGCAATCAGATTCTTGGAAGTTTTCATCGATCAGAGCAACTAGTCGAGGTAAGGGGGGAGAAACAGGTTAAAATTGGTAATTGCATGAATGTGGTAGTTGGAGATTCCTTAACCCCAATAGGGATTTGATGATTATGATTAAGATGCTGTAATGTTCTGATTGTTGTTTCCATGGATGAATTGCGTTTATGTTGTTAGAAATTGGTGAAATTCTGTTATTTCCAGCCTTGCATGTGACTATGTAAGGATTGTTGGGTGTTCAGAGTAGCTTACCGTTTAGGTCGAAAATGATTTAATCGGTAGGATTGGGATTTTATCAGGTAAAGTCCGGGACAAACAATGTGGTTTAGTCGTAGAATACTAGGCTAAGACTACTGGGACTGGTGTGATGAGAATCAGACGATTTTTGAGCTTCTGATGAATTTCTGAACAGTGAGGATTTGTAAAATAGTAGACATTCGCCAGCATCTTCGCTGAGCGAGCTAGTAGCGAGTATTCGCTAGGAATTCGCTAGGCGAGTTGGGTAGCGAACACTTCCAGTAGCCACTGTCTTCATTCGCTAGCAGGTTCGCTAGGCGAATGAGGCAGCGAGCGTTCGCTGAGGACTCGCTAGGCGAGCGTGACAGAATGTGATTTTTGTGCTGTTTTGCCTTGTGTCTCGTTTTGTAGGATTCCTTGGGTAATGATAGGTCGAGAGATGTTGTTTAGGGGTAAAGAGAGTATACTTGATGTGGAAGGGTGAATTATGGAATAATGAATTTAATTGACATGATTAATTGGTGAATAAGAAATATATATGTAATATGTATACGATGCATAGTGAGGTGATCGGGAGGATCGTGTGTACTCAGTGTCGAATGGGGTTTCACTGTTATTTAACTTGATTGATAATTGATTGGTGTGTATATATATATATATATATATATATATATATATATATATATATATATATATATATATATATATATATATATATATATATATATATATATATATATATATATATACATGTGTAAGATGTTTGGTGATATGATCAGTAGGATCGTGTGCACTTAGCGTGCTTGATGTTGTGTGTTGTGCATTTGGTGTTGTGCATAACATGGTGTCTTGGTATGGTTGAATCATGCCTCAAGAGGAGCGTAAGTGATTCAACCGTACTCTCTTATGATGTTGATGATGTGCTCCTTTGTGGAAGGCTGATGGCCCAGTGTCCATCGGTGATTGCGTTGAATCATGTCTTAGGAGAAGCGTAAGTGATTCACCCGTACTCCTTTGTGGAGGATTGTGGGGATAGATCATGTCTCAGGAGGAGCGTAAGTGATCTATCCCGTTTATGATGTGCTCCCTTGTAGAGGGTTGATGGCCCGATGTCCATCAGTGATGTTGAGTCGGTACCGCATGCATGTGTTGGGTTGCATTCTTGCATTATGATATGTTGTGTTGATGATTAGACAGTAGGTCCTGTTTGATGTTGGTGGGGTGATGATTTGTTTATTTACTGCCTTTTTATTCATGTATTTTATTACCGATAATTTTGATCATGTTTTCTCACCCCTCTGTTGTTGTTGTGGTTTGTGCTTCTTCGGAAGTACAGATAATCCAGGTGCATAGCTAGCTTGGATAGTGGTGTGCGAGTCAAGTCCTATGATGCTCTGATACGTAACACGGGACTTGGGAGTTTATTTGTTTTATGATAAATTTGTTGTATCCCTGTGACGTATCGTATTTTGGTGAATTTTAATGATGAATGATTTTTGTGTATTTTGGCGGATAGTCGTGAATGATATATTAATGATAATTTTTCGCTGCTCTATTTTGAAAACCATATAAAGAAGTGTTTTGTTGAATTTGTGAATGTAATATCCCACTTTTGGAATGGAAACTCTGATAATTATTTGACTTATTCGCATTTTATGTTAATTTGGGAAGTGAGGTGTTACACATGGGGCGCCATTTAGAATGGTCTTCCTTGAGTGTAAAAAGGATGCGTTCGGAGATATATCTCGAGAAACTAAGGACATTATAGGAAATTCGTACGGTGTCTAAAAAATACATGGGGTGCAATAAGAAATGCTCTTTGATATTAATAGATTCTTTGATAACCAAAAAAACATTAATGTTTGAGAAATTCTAAGTCCGCCGTATGATGTGGAAAAATACTTATAAAATTTCAAAAATATCTTTTAGATTTTGGAGATATATCTCTGGATGTATTATTTAAATCACTGAATAATGTACCAAATGAGTGTCTTTCCATTTTAAAATATTTTTTTCGGAGATGCATCTTCGAATATATCAATTCAATTTATTGTTTATTGCGCATTCTAGTGGATTTTTCGAATATGCATCTTCGGAATTTTGAAGCGGCAAATTAAAAAACTGCCACCTTTGCATTTCAGTCATTTTTGGAGTAGCATTTTCAGAAATATCAAATGTGATTTTAATAAAATAGCCACTTGCATGATTAGACTCATACCCATTTTTTCTAAAAACTCTTCCATTCTTAATCAAGATTTTCACTCCAAAACTTCATTATTGTGTTTTATCACATCAAAATGAGCAAAAGAAGCTGTAATTTAAGGTAAATATAATTTATTTCAAGCCTTATTGCTCACATTAATCTTGTTTTGAAGCTGAAAAAATGTCGTTGAAATCGAAAATAAATTTTCCAATTTTGTATGAATTCCTCTGAAAATGCATTTCCGA